ACTCTCCTAGTAGTACGACTCTTGCTGAGACGGACCACGTTCTGACAAACAGAAGACTGTACTCACTTTACACGTAGGTGAAAGTGAAAATCACTGTCACAATTTAACGTATTATTTACTGCCTATTCTTTTTAACGGCAGGGTATATATTGTGAAATATAACTTCTATGAAGCTGAGATATTTGCAAAACTGTGAACAGCAGGCGTATGCGGTGGGGAACGAACGCAGTAAATAAAAAGAGTAGGTAGTGAAAAATACGTTAAATTGTGATAGTGATTTCCACTTTCCACTTACCACGAGTTTCCATGGAAGAGACGTGCTGCGGATGGGACCTTTACAAGACGGTCCCCATTCATATTTCTTTCTCTTAATCCAAAATTTCCGATCCTGTATTTGCTCTTGTTGGCTTTTACCATTCTGGTGTTGAAGTTCCCGACAAGAAATTTATAACATGCTCCATCATTGCTGATAAATTCCTCTAACTGATAGTGAACCGCATTTAATTCTTACTGATCAGCTGTGTCGGTCGGTGAGTAGTAGTTAATGATAGTGATCTTCTTACCATGCGACAGTTGAAGACGGAGGACGGCTGCGCGAGGGGAGGGATCTCATGTGAGTCGATGAGATGGACAATAGACTGTTGGGCGACACAGCCTAAAACACCGACATTTGGTGGCAGAACATTTCCTTCGTGGAAAACAGAGGTACCGTTGTTTAGTTGGCATGTGTAGGTCTTCTTGATTTTCGTTTCTTGCAGTGCGGTCACATGAAATTTGATGCGGTATGGGGCTTCAAGAGGCTTCAAAAACAGCGTAAAAATCGGCGTCTGTGAAGAGTGTTCCATCGTTATACGTGCAGAGTAAGAAGCAATCTCTGTAGTCCTTCGTCCATGCGTCCGTCAGATCCACCTCCAGTGACGCCTTGCGTAACCCGAGATTTTTTTTACTGCGATGTGAATCGGAGGAAAGTATCGTTTCGGCAACGGTTCGTTTTTTCGGTCTTCTAACTGGTTGATTCGGAGACGGCGTTAAAACTGAAATCAGAAGAAAAAGTAAGAATGGAGGATGAACGTCCGCTCTATTACTTTGTATAAGCAGAAATTTTCGGAAAAAAGCAACAATAATGTCTTACATTTTCGTGGAACAAACACGAGGTGTTACTTTATTCTTCATAACGATGAAGCCAGTGTAACTGCAAATATCTCGTTCTGGAGAGTCTGCAAAGGTAAAGATGACTGCTATCCAACTGCCCAAACACCTTCATTAATACGCTAGCAATAGTAATTCAATAGTAACGTGACACTTCCAAAACTAAAATAAATACTTTTAACAAGAAAAAAAATGAATTTAAGGCAAAAATGGTGGTGCTAGAAATGGAAGGCACTGGGGTTTCAGAAAACGACAGCGATCTCGAAATGGAAACCGAAACACCTCCGCTGGATCAGCTGGTCGGATTGGATGTGGTGCAGCATTTGAAACCGAAAGAAAGAAACCGGCAAGAAGCTATTAAAGGTAATTTCCGTATTGTTACTATACGTATAAATAGCTCGAACAACCGAAACTAAGCATGCAAAGTAAAACAATGATTAAGTCCCACACGTAACATCACGGCTCTGAGGAAGACGAGATCGCCGGAACGTCAGCAATCGACCGACAACACCAACAACAACGACGAGGACAACGAAGATCTGTACCAACCTCGCGTCAACTTAAGAAAATCAGTTTACAAGATCATATAAATAAATATGTTAACTATCTGTGCCGAGGCTTATAGAAAGTCGGTCTTTCGAGAATGGTTGTTTTTGATACACGCATACTGTAGCATACTGATAGTAGTCGCCGAATTCACTTGTAGAATATAATCTATAGAACGAGACCGGACTCATACACACATAAATAAATATGTCGTCTTATACACAGAAGACGTTTCTCAAATTGGCCTGACAGAAGCAGAACAAGCATTCCCTAGACTCTCCTTCGCCTCAGGGAAGTGGAGCCTCTCATATTTCTCGAGATGCTTCATGAAGCCTCGCGACTAGGTGAATCAAAAGAGGTAATTTCTTTTTGTATTTTTTGTACATTTTTGTGTTGCAGAAAAAGAAAGTGCGGACCTAGAATGGAACAATAAGAACACCGCCAAAACTCGATAGAAGAGAGGCTCCAGCATTTGCTTCAGTAACTGGCTTTCCCGTTTATCGAATGACGCTAGACGCTGAAAAACGTGCTAAGAGATTTCCTCATCAAAAGTTAGCATTCGTTTTGAAACAAGCATCAATAAGGCGTTCGCATAAAGAATAAAAAACTGAGGTACCCTAAAAACTAATGCTTTCGCATTACTTTTGCGCTCAACAGTCGAGTAAAGCAATGGCCATTTATGCCAAGGTGAAACGTGTCTGTTTTGGAAAACACTCATTTGCTAGAAACGAGCTGACATGATAACACCCACTGCAGGATGCCTACATGTAGCCATATCAATATCAAACGCTATCAAAAGGCAACCAACAAGCTAACAACCCACGTGTATAAAAGCACATTGCCGAATTAGGTTCTCAATTCATCCGGTGTTCCAGGACACGATTCGACTGCGGTCGGTCGACTCGATGCGGCCACGGAAACCCGCATCGGGAGAATGAACGGCCGTGGACAGTCGAAGCGAATCGCTGCAGTTGAAGGTGAAAATGTTACGAATTCGATAAGAATTTTTGTCACTTTTTTTCCATGTGAACGGCAGTGGATTCTCATAACAGTTAAGTTGGAATTCTCGTTTTAGCTACAGTCAAGCAAACAATCAACGCTGTGGAAGAAGAGCGGTATGTTCCACGAGCTATTGGCAGTGAACAAGTATGTAAAAATGTGAGGTTACCAGCAGTTCAATGAATATTCTTCTGAATGACTGTTCTAGAAAACCACTATACAAACGGCGAAAATAAGTGAGCGCGGGAAGTGGAAACGAAATGGCGTTCTAGAAGTCCGAGCAGGTTAGTCTCTTTAAGACGTTTACTCTCGGTCGATAGATTGACGTACTAAAACTTATTAGCATCTGTCCAGTATGGTTAGAAGAAGAGGACCAAAGTTTAGCATAAGTATCTGACAAATTTTAAAAACGAGAGCTTTCGTCGTTGACCAACTTTTGGTGAGTGTGCCACATATATGCGTTTGGGGCTTTGTTTTTTCCATCATGTCATTCCAAGGAGCTAGCATTTCGTAGGGACTGTATTCGGCTATTCCCGCACTCATGATGACGTGTGTGGCGCAGTGGTTGGAGGCGCTACTGTGGTACACACGTGGAATCGGTTCCTGCACCTATGGCCCACCAACGCTTCCATTCCTCCAGCGTCGGCAAATTGACAGACATCTCTTAGAGGATACCAGGGCTGGCTCGATAGATCGGTAGGCCACCGCGAGTCATTGTAAAGGCCAGATATGCATTAATTCGTCTCCGACGACACTTAATGAAGTCGAATGCATGGCGCATCGCTCAGGGATTGATCAACGCCGAGAGTTTTAGAGGTTTTTCTCCGCCGCAACACGTTCAAAGATTCGTTTTTGCTCTTTTATGTACACACTGTGGTGTCCGTTCGAAACACTTTTTTTACAAAATTTTGAGAAAACAAGTAATGTACTAGTATGATTCTGATAGGCTGATGTGAATGTTCAAAAACGGAATTCATTCTTTGTTCGACTTCCTACGTTTAGAGATGGAATTTCTGGAGACGTCATATGCACAGCAGAAAGACCACTGGGCTGATCATTAGCGTTCTTTGCGAAGAGCCTAGAAGAAAGACATGATGTTCAGTGAGTCCTAGGTGAGCAGAACCTACACAGCTGGTCTTGCTCAAAACAAAAAAGTTGGAAAATTTACCAGTGCCCTCTCGATTAGTGAAATCAAAGGGCGGCTGATTACACAGGTCCTTGCTTGTTTTAATTATTTCTCTAAAGAGGTATTTCACAATTTCCATAGTTTTGCTTCTCAATGACTCCTCTGCTCCGGACCCCAATATAAAATGCACTGTGCTTTTCCATCAATACTTTGCAGTCATTTATTATAAATGACTCTTATAAACTCATCAGTATGTGGGCTTTCTCTGCATGATGCACAGGATTTTGCTTTATATATGGGAAAGAAAGAAGGAAACGGTGTGGGTCCTAGCACATTTCCAACTCCTTTTTACGTTCGCAATCGTCATCTTCGAATGGTCTATTTCCAACGTAGTAACTAGTGCTGTTACCATCCGTGATCCAGAAGTTGTTCTTGTTCGCGAATACAGGTGTTTGTTGTGAACTGTAAACATGTCTACCGTTCTTGAAAGTCATCAATTTATTTAACATTTTCATCTATCTCTCACCAGCTCTTCTTGTGATGTCTCCGATTGTTTGTCTACGGTTTACTTCAAATGTACCCGTGCTGTTCTGAACTTCGAAGCTCTGAACTGCAAATTTCGGACTGATGTCGTACAAAGGGTGAAGCCCTCGGCGTTAACCAATCGCTGATGGTTGCGCCATGCATTCTATTTCATTCTATTAAGCATCGTTTGGAAGAGATTGAATGTATATCTGGCCTTTACAATGAGTCGCAATGGCATTCCGATAGATCCAGGCAGTGTTACTATCCTCCCAGACAAGTCTGGTTCCAATTTGCCGACCCCGGAGAGATGGAAGACTTGGTGAACTGAGGGGCGGTAGACGATCCCACGTGTATTGCTGGGCCCCTGCGGAAGCTTGTGCCATACGAGCCCTTAATGCTGTATATGTAGAGTGTATTTATTCCGAAGACGCTGTCCAAGCGGTCTGTGGTTTGTGCCTCAGATCCTTAAGTTGGCTAAGTCTGCTGAACAGCGTAGCTCTAGAACTGTCGTTGAATGAAAATGTTAAGAGATATTTTTTTTGACTCGGCGGATGAAGAGGGAAATGGCTGTCTAATCGACGAAATTATGCTGTGTGACTCAAAATTACGATCAAATGGCGCTAGGCAAAGCTTATGCCACCGAAGATCTAGAATCTTCTCTGCATGAAAAATAAACATCATTTTGTCGAATAGCATTGTCGTTCTACGTACTGTTCCTGTTACTGTTCCTTTGTTTAGCGATCGCTTGAAACTCAATACGTTTCACGGTGTTCAGGAAAATGATAATATCAGAGTTGAAACAAACTGTTGCGGCGTTATAGATGCAGAATTTAATAGGTTACATATGCCTCGGATCTCTTAGACAAGAAATCTTCTAGACTTATTGATTTGTGCTATGCTATATGCGCAGTGTGCAGCCGTGTAATTAGTTTGTTATATTGCCGGTTCAGCAAATTGTTTTCCCCGAGTGCGGGTCACATGCACCATGGCATTCTCTATTCCAAAAGAGCCTTTTCTAAAATGACCCAGATCGCACATCTTATGGCCACTCCACCACTTGCTGCATTCACTTCGTTTCCACACGTACCCAACCAACGAATATCTCTAAGGTTTTTAGGTGTAGATTCAGTTGTTGTTTAATCATCTTCATCTTCGTTATGAATACCGTTGAATGATGGTCGCATCGATTCGAGTGAGGGAGTGGAATTCTGGGGCATCTGTGCTTTTCTACAGCTCATTGGATCTGTTGAAGTGGAGAAGGTTCTGGTGTTCGCACATGCATTGTGAGACTTCTTGAATGTGCAATGATCGAACTGCTCCTCCACGGACATCGCTCGGTAATGACGATCAAGAGGAAGACTTTATGGTTATTGTATAAGTATATTGGACGAAACCACCATTTTTTAAGAACTGGTGTAAAATTAGCTAATAAGGCTAGCATACATTTTTTTCAAATCTTCCTGTTATAAAGAGATCGTTAAACCGTATTCGCCAAAATTCCGTCACTTGGAAAATATTTTGCTAACGGTTTAATGGTGCAATACCATTACATAGTTTAAAGTAAATGTGGTTGATGTTAGATGTATCAACGGAAACTTAGTTTATAAACTTTAGTTTACAAGCATTGCTGCTGAATCTGGCTTTGAACATGCCTTGCATCGTCCTACTGAGCTAGTGCTTCACCCGAAGGCATATGGAGTAGATTGTACCTATTTCCAGGGAGCGTATGTGGGAAGCACAAATAGTGTTTCAGTAGCCCCTGCTCGAATGTAAGGTGAGGATGCGCAGGAAGAAGGATGGGGTAAGAAGGTGATGGCAGATTTAATCGCTCTTCGCTAAGAGGACCAAGTGATGCCAGTCTTTTCCTTGTTTCCAGCAATTACTCTTCCTTGTTGTTTTATTTTCTAATTTAAGGTCTCACGCTGATTCTGACAGTTGCTCCCGATTGTATCAATGTAGATCCTGTTGCAGAGATCTTCTACAGCTGTAATTTTTTAGTGGCTCTGTTAAGCATGTTGCAGTAGGACAAATATTGAGGTTTCTTCTCGTCTCAAGCAACTCCTTAATGGTAATTTAAATGCGATCTGACATTCTTTCCCGGTGAACTGGTCCGAATTCTGCACAACTTCTGCGTCATTCGAAAAGAAGTTCTTAATCATCGTTTCCGTCGTACTTAATTTGCCAAAAATGTTTTAAAAGAATTCCGTTCAAAATGCTTATCTCGTATACAGCTGGCCCATTTTCTCATGGTCGGCGACGTGAAATCTTTTCCAGCCTATGGCTGAATCGCACCTGTAAATTGTGATGGCACCACCTACGTGTAAAGTGAGTACAGTCTTCTGTTTGTCAGAACGTGGTCCGTCTCAGCAAGAGTCGTACTACTAGGAGAGTACCATTTCAGCGATGGCCTTCTTTCTTCTGGAAAAACGAGTTTCCATCAAAGAGACGTGCTGCTGACAGGAGTCTTGTGAGACGGTTCCTATTCTCATTTCTTTTTCCTAATCCAAAATTTCCGGTTCTGTACTCGCTCTCGTTGAACTTTCTTATTTTGTCGTTGAAATCTCCTTCAACAAATCTATGACACGCTTGATCATTGCGGATAATTTTCTCTAATTGATAGCAGAGCGTACCTAGTTCGAACTCATCAGCTTCATCGGTCTATAAGGAGCAATTAGCTATTGCGGTCTTTCTAAGACACGTCAGTTGAAAAGGGAGGACGGTCATGCGAGGAATAAGAATCTTCTACGAGTCGACTAGATTGGCAATGGACTCGTGGGCGACAGATTCTACACCACCGGCATTTGATGACAGGACCTTTCCTCCGTAGAAGACAGAGGTCCCGTTGTTTAGTTGGCGTGTCTAGGTTCAAGAATGGCGTGAAAATCGGCGTCTGAGAAGAGCATTCCATCATTATACGCGCAGAGTAAGAAGCAATCTCTGTGGTCCGTTTTCCATGCGTCCGTCAGATCCACTTCCAGTGATGCCTTGCGTAACCAGAGATTCTGTTACCGCAATGTCAATCGGTCAATCGGAAGAAAGTATCATTTCGGCAACGATTCGTTCTTTCGGTCTCCTAACTGGTTAATTCGGAGACGATGTTAAAGCCGAAATCAGAAGCAGAAGTAAGAATGGAGAATGAACGACCGCCTTAGGACGTTGTAGAGGAACAAATTTGCGGAAAAAAACAATAATAATGTCTTACATTTTCGTGGAACAAACACGAGGTGTTACTTTATTCTTCATAACGATGAAGCCAGTGTAGCTGCAAATATCTCGTTCTGGAGAGTCTGCAAAGGTAAAGATGACTGTTAACCAACTGCCCAAACACCTTCATTAATACGCTAGCAATAGTAATTCAATAGTAACGTGACACTTCCAAAATTAAAATAAATACTTTTAACAAGAGAAAAATGAATTTAAGGCGCAGATGGTGGTGCTAGAAATGAAAGCCACTGGAGTTTCGGAAAACGACAGCGATCTCGAAATGGAAACCGAAACACCTCCGCTGGATCAGCTGGTCGGATTGGATGTGGTGCAGCATTTGAAACCGAAGGAAAGAAACCGGCAAGAAGCTATTAAAGGTAATTTCCGTGTTGTTACTATACGTATACATAACTCGAATAAGCGAAACTGAGCATGCAAAGTAAAACAATGGTTCTTTCTGATTCACACAAGCTGCGGCTTTCTGATAGTAGTGATAGACGCCTATCGTGGCGTACTGTAGCGGTCGCAACCATGGGTTTGATTTCATGTATATTTCTAATAATGCAGTGACAATAAGCCTCTTTTTATGGTTTTTTAGAACTGTTCCACGCAGAGTATACACATGTACGAAATTTGAAAGTGCTGTCTGGAATATTCCATATGCCTGCGTCGTGGAATAACGTGGTGTCGCCGGATGTAACGCAACTGCTCTTCGCAAACCTCGACGGAGTTATTGAGATCCACATGGGGTGGTCACCTCAAATTCCGAGACAACCAAAGAAACTAAAATTCGTACGAGGACTAGATGTTTTCTCTAAGTATTCCGTCATCATATTCTCGACTGAAGTAAGACACTGTGGAATGCATGGACACACAGCGTGCTGCCTACAGTTTTTTTTCTGTAACAATAATTTATTGAAGGACTTCACCACTAAAGGACATAAAAGCTTCTCACATCCGTGCAAATAATTGAAGTACCTAAATAAAACAGTGTGGAGAATATGTATGGCAGACCTCCCAAGAGTCGATAGCCAATTTGAGTTCGAGGAACTAGTGGTCAAATGATTGTAGTTGGTGAAACCTTGAGCACATTGTGAAATATTGCTTATGCAGATGCACGATCTTCTTGCGCAGCCAATTCCAAATCGTCACGCGCCTGTCGTCAACCCGGAGGCGTAAAATCGTAACTTCTAGACATTTCTGGAAACTAGACTTAGACTTTAGTCTTCAGTGGCTCAGGACAATGATTTATAGCGGTATGAACAGCTATCTAGAAACGAGAGTGTGCCGTAGTCTAATCTCACAACATGTAGTAATGCGTAAAGAAAACCGCTCATTTAGAAAATAATGAGACTCTCTACTCACGTGAACCTGAAATTTCAAAAACCTGTGTTATCACCGTCCAACAAATAGTTGATTTTTGCACTTGTGCTGTGCGCAATTTGAAAGCGATCAAAATAAAGGGCCTCGTGAGACCTGCTATGCCGATGTGCTGACTGGCATTGTAAGCTAAAAAAATCTTCGGAATGTTGCCTACAAGAGTAAGTTAAAGCCTAAGGAGCTCAGTTGAAACACAGGTAGAAGTGCAGGCAAAAACTTCGTACATTTGTGATCGATGCGATCGCTCTAGGGCCTTACAAGAAACGTCAACAAAGTACTTGTCTACATCGAAATGATTAACAAAATGAGGTCAGACGTTAACCATAGCAGCGTCATCATGTACAGTTAGAAACGCCCCATTAATCTGTTCACTTCACGATGGTGGTTCCAGTTCGACTTTTGTGAGAAACTTGATAGCCTCTACCCAATTGGAGCGTTGTTGCTTTCGTTCAAGTCCCTTCTTGTTCATAGTCATACAGTCCCGACAAGGCTGGTTTCGCTCTGAAGAATGAAAATTGCAATCGTTTACCGATTGTTCGTGAACATCTTCATTCCTTGACCAAGTAAGCTGTTCGCCAACAGCAGTGGCGAATACAAAAATCCGCATAATTGTTTTCTTCGTAAATTTCCATGTATGTATCCCTTCCCTTTAGTAAGTTTCTGGATGATTTCGGCGCCATATCGAAGGTGCTTAATGGAATTACACTGCCGAAACTTCCGATTCTCTCCGAGGCACACCTAACTTACATCGATGTAGATTTCATGGCTTGGACGATAGTCAGGCTAACAATTATTGTTGAAAACGTATAAAAAGGTTTCAAACTTCTAAACGTTATATTGTTTTGCATTGTCCTTTGCAGAAATGTGAACATTTTGTTCACTTTTTATTTAGTGCTTTTTACTCGTTCTCATGCTAGGGTATTATTTGTGAAAGAACCACAATGATGCTGAGATATTTGCAAAACTCCGGTCCGCAGGAGTCTGCGATCGGTAGAACTATCTGAGAGACAGGCGAAACGAGGACCCGCATGGTGCGGTGGTGAAGGCGTTACTCCCCGGAAAGGGGCTACAGCCAGCGCGTTCGCTCCCCACCGCAGACACCTGCGCTCCGGAGTTTTGCAAATAATAATCTGCAGTTATATAGACAATTGTTTTGTCATCTTCTCTACTCATGTGGAGATGGACCAATGCTTTGCATTATTGAATGAGCAGTCTGAGTGTATTAAATTCACCCGAGTGAAACCGAGACCTCGCTTTTACTTTTTAACGTTCAAATCAACTCATCAAGTAGCGGTTACACGACAAAGTGGTAGCGAAAACCATGTAACAAAAACATTCTGGTTCATTTCCTCTCTTCCCACCCTTCACACACAAAGAGAGCGCATGTGAGAAACATTTCCGAACAGCCAACTATGCGTGCACAACCACGGAACTAAAGGAAGAATCGCGCAACTTAGCTTGGCAAATAGCCATCTCCAATGGGTACGAAATAGTTGCCGCAGGAGATAAGTTCAGAGAGAGAGCTATGCGCCAAAGCGAAACACTTGGCCAAAAGAAAATTCCGTTTATGTTGCCTTTTATAAGCGATGAAGTAAGCGTAGCTATACAACGATGCTTGAAAAAGACAAGTCTAAAGGAATCGGTAGCGATGGTTGATATACCGCCCAATTTCCTTCGTCGTCAATCAGTTCGTAACCGCCTCTATGACTGTCTACGCAAAACACAAAGTTGCGTAATTTGAGCTCACGGCAGGGACGATGATTGCATGAGTTCAGGTACGATATACCTGATCTCTTGTAATAATTGCGGAGATGAATATATTGGCGAAACGGGCAGACCTTTGCGTATCCGTATAAAAGAACACCTAGATGGCAAACGAAAACGAAGACAAAGTACCCTACTAGGCACGCATAGGAAACAAAAGCATAGTGGAGACGATTTTGAAGTAAGATTCAATATCCTTGCACAGGAGTCCAAAACACCAGCGCGAAAACTTCTTGAGGGTTTTTCGATAAATGCCAAAAACCCTACAATGAATAGCAGAGAGGAATGCCAAGAGGTTACACTCGACCTGGCTCCGTATGTTCGCATCAATTTCTGATGTGGAATGGTGCAGTCATCAACCATGTGCGACTATAATCAGCTGTTCCAAACTTCCTCATTGGAAGTCACGAAAAAGCGGTGAGTTTTTCGAGAAGCTGTTGATCACGTAATTGCCATAGAGTTTTTCGTCTTTTTGTAAGTGTTATTGAAGCATTTGGCCTAGTAGATTGTATATCAGTTTACCCTTCCAGGCTCTGAAGAAGGCGATACTGCCGAAGCATCAGCTAGCGTTGTATTGTATTGTGTTTCTCTATGGAAGTAAATGTGTGCTGTATGAAAACCTCGCGATTGCTGAACAAGAAAACGACACATTCATATTCCAATGCCAAGGTTAAGAGAAAGTCGATCCTCGAAACTATTACAAGATGTACCAGCAAAATACTTTCGACTTGTGAAGGAAACATTGTCACTAAGACAGAAGATTGTCTTAGCTAGACAGCAAATCAACTTCCTCCGCCGCTGTTTTCAACATCGAGTCGTGCCGAAGTTTCGCCTTATGTTGGATTGGGAATTGAACTGATATTAGCACTATACAGGAAGAGTGCGAACCTTTTCGTATATTGATCGTATATTGGTTTTGATTTCTTCAGACAACTCTGGTACCAACTTGGTAACCCCGGAGTGGCGCCAGTTTTCTGGGCCACGAACTCCATTGAACTAGTATTTTTCTATCTGTTAACTGTTTATTGTTCGTGAAGATTTCATAATAGCTGATACAGAAAGTGCATGTGATTGTGACGTAGTGGCTTATACAAAAAATTAATTGAAATGGCAGATGCTGGAAAGTACATGCATTTGTCATCTGCTCTTTCTCTGACCGAACTGTCGGACAAAGAAGAAGGGTTAACGCAAAGAGATTACAGAATCTTCTTTCAGCCTGCTTTGAGGCAGATGCAAAGAAACAATTTACAGAAGATGAAAGGATAGATATGGAATAATTACATGTAAGCAGTTTATACAGAAAACATGCAACAATATGGAAAATAGAACTATTCTAGGAGTTGTTACTCGTGGTTGACGTGTTTTGCGAGCAGCTGAAAAATATTATGGCCCATAAACACCGTTCTTGCCATGGGGCTAATTTTGAACTATGAGATAACAGCGGGATTGATCCGGGAGCCCAAATCGGCAACGAACCCAGTTAAGCTGAGGCTGCAGTTATAGTCACAATTTTAAGGACACGCATGGTGCTCTGTTACTCCCCGGAAAGGACAATAGCGCGTTTTTTCCCCACCGCAGACACCTGCTGTCCGGAGTTTTGCAAATATCTCATCACCATTAAAGTTATATTTCGCAATATATACTCTGCCGTTGAAAAGAGTAGGCAGTAAATAGCAACTTTAAAAAGTGCTTTCAATTAATATATGAGGTGAACCTTACACTTGAAATGGAGTTATTTCCTTATCCATGATTACTGGAGCCTCTTCGGATATTTCAACCTAAATTAGTAGCTTAGGTGGAGTATAAGTACATAGTTAGTTGAGATGTTTTTCACTAACTAACCACTATTAGCAGCGCCGAAAGGATGTGAAGGTTTCTCTGAATATCATTGCGTAACTCCTGGATCTGAATCGTTGTGCTTTATTTTTCATGGATATTACGGCAGTTATGCAAGACGGTGTTTGAATACTCATACATTATTAGGAAACAAAAAGCACTTCGATGTAGACGACGAACACTAGTCAATATTGAGAGATGTACTTTTTCTCACGAAAATGAGCAGTCAATTTGTATCGGATCACCTTCAGTTAGAGCCGTACGTAATTTAAGGACGAAAGTAAGCTTTTCGACCAGCGCTCGAACGCATTCGAAAATGTTTCTTTCGAGCTCTTTGAGCGATGCCTGTGCCGGTGCACAGCTCTCCGTTTAACAACTGAGTCGCAACCACTCTTCGTCGGAGAGCGATTACCAACTAGATGAATGAGTGATTTTACCGGGTCGTACCTCACTGACGTTTTCCTCAAAAGATCTCATGAATGAGGAAAGGTTGCTCGATTTTCGATCGATGCATTCGGGTAGTGATCTAACTAGGCTGCGAATTCTTCGTTGAAACCGAAGACAATGCACGACTGAAACATGAAATTCGGTAGTCTTCTCACTGCTGTACGACGAAACACAGAAGCAGATTCGAAAAGGACGCTTCTTGAAACTACGTTCTTGGTCAATCACTCAAGTACGCGCGCGCTATTTATTTAGATCATGAAGCAGTGTATCTGTTCTTTTAGACATATTTGGCAACTTCTTCTATGCTGGAGGGACGAAGGAATTAGCGAGGGTGTGAATCATTGAATACATGTGTATTGCAAAGCACCTCTTGCCAACATGCTGTACGGTAAATGAGGTTTCAGCAAAATGGTCATTCTTTTTATTTTGTATTTGAATAATCTTGCTTTAGCGTAATGCACATCTCACCCAAAGTGATCGAGCATCAAAATTCTTGGCTTCAGAGAAGAAGCTAGAGGTCTTCGAATGCTCGGTATATTTCAATTACTGTTACCGAATTCTCTAGAGCAATTGTTCGATTTCTAGAGTCTAGGGAATCTATAATCCTGTATAAAAGAGCATTCCCGGTTGAGTACGCTTCATTCGAGAGGTGCTTTACGGGAGAGGATCCGACTCGATACGACTGCGAAGACGCCACATCGAAAAGACGAACAATTGTGGATCACTGACTTGGATCATCTGCTCTGATGATG